CGCCCGCCCAGCTCCTTGCGCCCTAGGTGCCCCTGAGACCCTCCCCACCACTACCACCACCAGTGCCCAGCCCAGCCCAGCCCCTTCCCTCGTCCCCGACAGGGAGCCTGGTTTTCCAGTCTGCAAAATGGGAACAATGGCTGGGGCGTAGTGGTGCACACCTGCAATCCCAGCACGCTGGAGGCTGAGGCAGGAGGATCCCCACAAGTTTGTGGCCAAGTTCAAGGCCAGCCTGAACTACACAGCGAGACCCTGTCTCAAAACAAAAAAACAAACAAACAAAAAAAAAATGGTACAACAGATACCTGCCTCCCAGGTGACAGGCACTGCTCCTTAACTCGCCTCAAATTTTCTAGCTTAAAAAAAAAAACTGTTTTGAATCTGTGCAAGGCGGCACATACCGGGTCATCCCAGCATTCTGGGAGGCGGGGCAAGAGGATCTCAGTTTAAACCCAACCTGGGCAGTTTAGCCACTTAGTGAGAGCTGATCTCAAAATAAAAACAGAACAAGCTTGGGGCTGGGGATTCAGCTCACTGGCACCACACCTGCCTCACAAGCACAAGGTCCTGAGTTCCATCCCAGGTACCAACAAATAAATAATAAATAAAGCTGGCAGGCAGGGTTAGGGTGTGGAGTTCAGGGCAGATGGCCTGGGTTCTGTCCCCAGTACTGGAGTGGGGGGTCTGTTTTGAGAACCTACTACACAGCAAAGTGACAGGGTCCAAGTCCAAGTCCCCTCCCCTAAGGAGATGACATTCGGGAGAGGATTCAGCTAGTAAACAAAGCAACTCTCTCTCCTCAGTCTCCAATCTAAAGATGTCTCCCAGCTTCCACTCTTTGGTCTCTGACCAACACTGCGATGTAGGGACATGTAATATGATCTCCCAAAAAAGAGTCCTTAAAAGGAAGAGCTGGTCTCTTCTGTACTCCTTCCTCCTTCTTAGTGGCTAGGAAGGTAGAGGCAATGGCTGGAGCTGGAGCAGCCACTTGAGAGTTGGAAATCTGTGTGCTAAGAGGCAGAGCAACAAGTTGGCAGATGTCTGGTTCCCTGACACTGCCCTGAATTGCCTCCCTTAGTAATGATTCAGGTTTTCCATGCCATGCAACTCAGGTTAATCTTAAAGGATGCATTGTGTAATGTACCTGTCACTCAGTTTCCCTTTTCGCTACCTTTTATGGTTTATGAGGAAAAGGGAAATAAGCATTGTGCCCTGCCTTTCAGAAGTCTGCTGTCCACCAGAGGGGTTTGCAGACTTGGCCCGGGTCAGCTGTGTGACCACGGGCAAGTGTTCTCACTTCTCTGGGCCTCTAAGCCTCAAATGGGAAATTTGGCCTCAGAACCGTTGGGAATTTGGGGGAATGGTGGTCCTGCAAAGATGGAGACTGTGATACCCAGATGTGGGAAGGGGAGCACAGTGCCCCATGTGCACACCCAGGGCATGGGGCAGCTCCGTGTGGCCCAGGCAAGCCCTCCGAGGTCTGGAAGCCTGACACTAACACCCTTGGCTCAGTGTGACAGGGACACCTGGAGCCCTGGGGAGGGCTTTAGGTGCATCTCTGGCACCAACAAGATCCATTTACAGCCTGGCATGGGGGCGCACATCCATGAGGCAGGATGAACACTAAGAGTTCAAGGCCAGCCTGGACTGCATAGTGAGGCCCTGTCTTGAAAGAAAAAGAAAGACAGAGAGAGAGAGAGAAATCAAGATCAGCAATTTGCAGAGAGAAAAAGCCGAGCCCTCCTGCTCCAGCCTGGACTGCATAGTGAGGCCCTGTCTTGAAAGAAAAAGAAAGACAGAGAGAGAGAGAGAGAAAAATCAAGATCAGCAATTTGCAGAGAGAAAAAGCCGAGCCCTCCTGTGCCCTTTGTGTATCCCTGGTGTGTCCAGGGAGCCTCTCCGCCTGGTCCCCATGCCCTGAGAGTCCCTTGCAAGGCAGAGCTGGAGCCTGTGAGCAGCAATGGCGCCTGCCTGGATGCAGCGAGGCCAAGCATAACAGTGGACCTGGCACAGTTGGGTTTCCGCTCTCGCTACTTTTTCTTGATGCTTCTATTTTAGGCAAGCTGTAGGGGCTTTGCCATAAGGTGTGGGCCCCGGGTGACCACAGAGTGACAGCTGCACGGTCTGCAGCCCTTTTGGGGAACCCCACTGCCTGGGCCTCCCCACAGCTAGCTCTGCAGAGCCACGGGTGCTGAAATGGGGGGTGCGCCTGCAGGGAGCCCTCTGCAGAGATAAGGCCTGAGGCATCACTGCCAATGGGAAACGCAAACCAAACCAAACACCACCAGGGAACCATCTCCTTTCCCAACTCTGGCCACTGCTGCAGGCAGAAGTGTTGCTTTTGAGGGCGTCCCCACCCCTCTGATTGATTCGTGGATAACGTAATTGGGATCAAGGTGTAACATCATGTCAGCATAGTTCCCCGGGCCTTGCTGCGTAATATTCCACAGTATGATGTTGGGAGTTCTGCTATTGGGCCTCTGTTCCCAGACTCGAGGGAGAGGCAGTTAGCCATGCTTAGCCTCTTGGGGGAACGATTTTAAAAGGCACAGGCACCTGGGCATGACGGTGCATGCCTTTGATCCCAGCTACAAAGAGGCTGAGGCAGCAGGATCTCAATTCAGGTCTGGGCTGGGCAACTTAGATGTTGACTCAAAATTTAAAGATTTAAAATTTAAAAATCAAACAGGCTTGGGATGGAGCTCAGATGCAAAGCCCCTGAGTTGCATTCCAGGCACCAAGATTAAAAATAAAAAGGTGCAGCCTCCCTGGGCGTCTGGGTCCCCTGCCCCTCTCTGTGAGCCCCGTCTCTGCCACTGGCCGTTCGTCCTTAGCACTGTGAGCTGTGGTTGGGTGAGGGCCCGTTCCCAGGGCCATCGCTGCGGCCAGGCCCAGGGTGGCGTCCATCAAAGGTGAGCGAACTTCCGTGCCTGTTGATGTTGACGATAATACCGTAGTGGCTGGCATTTTGGGGCACTGCTGTTCTGTGGCAAGCGCCCACAGGTCTCTGCAGCAGATCCTAAGAGGAGTGAGGTTGAGAGCATCACAACTGCAGAATGGGAAGGGTCTTCCGGGCTCTGTGCGTTGCTTACCTTCCCAGATGGGCAGCTCACCCCTCCCACTACCCCGCCCGTGCGCGCGAACGCGAGCGTGCACTCGCGCAACACCTGCTCCGC